ATGAATCCCAAATATCTGATAAGCAGGATATCTGGTATGTGACCCAGGTAAAAGCGTCGTTTGATGCCCATAAAGGGGCACAACCCATTCACTGGCTTAAAGACTTTAAGTAGGAAGCTGTCTCATGTCTGCTCCTAACCTGGGTTTCTGTTTTGGGTATCTGCTAACGAGTCACCACCAAACACCAAAGCTTTAAAAACTTGCCGTTCTCATTTTCCTTCCCTGGTCTTTGGGTTGACTGGACTCAGCTGGACTGGTCCCCCGGGGCTTTCAGCTAGGGCCTAGGCTAGACTTACACACAGAGGTGTGGGTTCCATTTCTTCTTCTGCGCCAAAATACATGACAAAAGCAACCTAAGGCTTCGGTTTGGTTTTGGCTCACAGAGTTGGGGCTACATGTGGTGGGAATGTGCGGCAGCTACAGGCATGGGGCAGGTGGTCACCACAGGCCTGCGGTCGGGAAGCAGAGCAAGATGAATTTGGGGCAGCTTTCTCCTTTTTATCAGTGTAACCCTTCAGCCTGTAGAGTGGAGCTGCCCACACTTAGGGTGGGTCTTCCATTGTCACTTACCCTTGGTAAGACCTTCCCCCGACACACCCAGAAGTGTGTCCCCAGTAGACACGAGGATGAATCCTGACGGATGGTCAAGGAGGAGCTGAGACACCTGGGTTCCTCGCCCTCTTCGTATGGCTGTCTGCTGCTTAGGGTGGCTTCTTCGTGTGGCCCTGCCATGTGCTTTCTGTGCATGGCATAGGCTGGGCTGCGTGTGGGCTTCCCTGGGTTTCCAGAAGTCCACAGGCTGACCTTCTTAAAGCTGAGCCTGGGAATCTCCGGATACCGCTCTTACCACATCACGGCAAGGCTTCACGGTCCACGGAGACAGCAGACACTCACAACGTCAAGCGGCCGGAAGCCCAGATTCTTGGAGGACATTTTGGAAGAACTCCCACTGCAGACAGTAAATGACTTTGAAGGCTCCTGTGGCTGGTAGGAGACACAACAGCCCTGGGGCTCTAATAAAGGAGATCTAGCAGGGGAAATAAAGAGGCAGAGAGGGCATTAGTTGCATTGACCGGTGTGTGTATATAAGCATATTTATGGCATAAATCCGTGAATAAGCATATATGTATTCGTGAATATGAATAATAAATACAGTGAGGAAGGGAAGTAAGAAAAGAGAATTGTTTCTTTCTGTCTTCATTTTCTGAGATAGGCTCTCACATCGTTCAAGGCTGACCTTGAACTTCCTATATAGCTAAGAATGACTTTGAATTTCTAATCCTCCTGCCTCCACCTCCTGAGTGATGGAAATCCAATGTAAATTTCCACTCCCAGTTTATGCCAGGCTGAGGATCTAACCCAGAATTTGGTGCAGACTTCTGCTCTCCAGTCTGGGGGTTGTAAGCATGTGCCCCTATGCCTAGTACTGTTTTGAGATTCTTCAATACTTTTTAAAAAGGGGGGACCTAAAATTTCCATTTTGCATTACATCCTGCAGACTGCAGAACCAGCTCTGCAGCCTTGGATGTGCCCATTGTGAGACTGTGGTCTTGCATCATTCCATGTGGAGCTGAAGGCACAGAGGCCAGCAAGGCCAGACCTTGCAACACAGCCCCTGCTTCCCTTACAAAAGCTTTAACAACTGCCTTAACTCCTCATGCGCCAGAGGTCTAATCCCTCCAGGCACTATGAATGCATTACTTCAAACCTCATCACAACCATTTTTCCTTTAATTAAAGGGTAACACATGGTGGTGAAGATTTTTCAAAAAAAATATTTTTTTAACTCACCTGTCTGTTGTGTATTGGTGTTTTGCTTTTATTTAAGAGTACCACGTTCATGTAGTACCTGTGGGGGCATAGGGTGAATGTTGGATCCCTCAGAACTAGAGTTATAAGTTGTTGTGAGTGGTGGGTGCTGGGAATTGAACCTAAACTGTAGACAGAAGTTTCTGTCCCGCCCAGTCCCGCAGCCATTCAGTTCCAAAGAAAAACACTGTCTTATATTAATTATAAACGGTTTGGCCTATTAACTCAGGCTTATTATTAACTAGTTCTTACAACTTAAATTAACCCACCAGTCTTGTCTATGTTTAGCCACATGGCTTGGTACCTTTTATCAGTGAGGCATTCTCATCTTGCTTCCTCTGTTCCTGATTGGTGACTGCGTCTCTCTACCTTTCCTCTTCCCAGAATTCTCTTAGTCTTTTCACCCCGCCTATATTTCCTGCCTGGCTACTGCTATCAGCATTCTATTAAATCAGTACGAGTGACAAATCTTTATAGCGTACAAGAGCGTTGTTATCCCACAGCACTAGAACCTCTAAAAGTGTAGATAGTTTTTCTTTAAGATTTATTTATTTATTATGTGTAGTGTTCTGCCTGTAGGCTGGAAAAGAGTACCAGTTCTCATTACAGATGGTTGTGAGCCACCCTGTGGTTGCTGGGAATTGAACTCAGGACCTCTGAAGAACAGCCAGTGGTCTTAACCTCTGAGCCATCTCGCCAGCCCCAAAGCCAGTGTTTTTAACCACAGAGCCCATCTCACAGCCCTAGCAAACACCTTTAATCCCAGCCTTCAAGAGGCAAAGGCAAGTGAATCTCTGAGTTCAAGGCTAGCCTGGTCAATATAAAGAGTTCTCGCCCAGTCAGGGCTACATAGTGACACCCTGTTTCAAAAATAAAATAACTTAAGAACATCTATTCTGAGGGTGTTCCAGAGCCCATATATTTTCCATTGTCAAGGTCAATTAAAGACATTTGTCATTTTCTTTTTATGTAGGTTTTTGCTTTCCCAGGGAGGGGAATTATTTCCTCTAAACCCATTGTTTTCCTGTTTCAGGCAGCACCCCCGCCCCCGCCCGCTGCCCCAGTTCTCAAGAACACTTTCTGGTAAGACAGACTTTGTGTCACACTCGCCAACTTCAAAGGGGAAGTGCATGGAGAGTCAAGGCTATCCTTGAGGTCTTGTTTCATTTCCTGGCTTCCAGTTTGCTCTGGTTGTTTTGGGGTGAGAACCTCTGTCCACAGGCCTGCCATGGGCTTCTGGGGATTGGGCCTTTAGCTCCTTCCCTTGGAAGGCCATGTCGGAGAAGTTTCTGAGCGAGAGTCACACTTAAGAGACACGCTTTCTTTCAAAATCCATTTTTATTAGGATCAAGCAACAAAGGAGTGAAACATTGCACCCAAGGGTAGAGTTAAAAGCAGGAATTTTCACAGATTTCTGGGGTTTTTTTTTGTTGTTGTTGTTGTTTTTTGCATGTAGGATAAGCGTGTACACTCTCATGCTAGTGGATGTGGAGGCCAGAGACCAACCTCTGTGGTCATTTCTCAGGAGGGACTTTAAAAAACATTGTTTGTTTAGTTGTGCGTGTATGCATATGCTCTTGTGTGCACACACATGTGTGAACACACAAGAGGAGGTCAGAGACACACTGTAAGGTCAGCTCTCTCCTTCCACTGCCCAAGTTCCTGGCTGGATCAAGCTCAGGCAGTTAGGGCCTTTACCCCCTGAGCGAGCATGTCAGCCCCTACCGTGTTTGCCTGTTTGTTTTTGCATCGTTTTGTTTTGGAGACAGTCTCTCACTGAGACCTCAGGCTTACCCATTCAGCAAGGCTGGCCAGTGAGCCTCTCCTGTCCTCTGTCTCTGCCTTCCCAGCTCTGGGATTACAAGCTTGTGCTGCCCTATGAGTTCTATGACTGAACTCAGGTCCTTGGACTGTGTGGTAGGCTTTTCACTTACTGAAGTAGCTCCCTCGCCAGTTCCCACAGATTTCTATATGTGGCAGAGGCCAGCAGATCTCAAGTTCAAGACTAACAAGTTAGCTGGGTAATTCTAGCACTCAGGAGGCCGAGGCAGGCAGATCTCTGAGTTCAAGCATAGCCTGGTTTACATAGTGAGTTCCAGGATAGCCAGGGTTACACAGAGAAACTCTGTCTCAAAAGACCAGCAAGTGCCATGCCAGGGTTATGCAGAGAACCCCTGTTTCAAAAACAAAATAATAGTAATAGTAATAGTAATAATAATAATAATAATAATAATATAAGATTGAAGAAAATAGAATAAAATAAAAAGGATATGTGGTCCTTGATTTGATGCTGGTAGGACTTCTTGGCTTGACTCCTTCCTAGGTAGCAGAAGTCAGGTAGTAACAACGGAGTAGCTGCTTAGGGACACTTGGCTCTCATGTGTCCGCTTCTTCCTATGGACTCTCTGTGTGCCGTGTGCTGATGTGTCAGGCACTGCAGGGTCACCATGAGGTTCTGAGTCCCGGCTTACACAGGCATAAAGTTCCCTTTTCCTCTTCGGTCTCTTTCGACCTGGCTGGAGCCCAAGCATCCTGTCGCTGACACTTCAGACTTTTCGTTTCTTTATCTGAAACCCTGCTCCCCACTATGGGGCCACTCTTGCTCTCCGTGACTGCTGAGAAACGCCAAGGCTTTCTCTCTCCCCCCTCTGTCTCCCTTATCCATCTGCTGAGATTTACAGCTTGCTTGCCCTGGAGTTTTTCTTTTAAACTTGAATAAAAACTACCCTCCGAGCTTAAAAACAACCACAAACCACATGCGACGTCATTAAGTCATTTTTGAAAACTCGTAGCCAGATGTAAAGGGTCTCATACTTTACGTGCACGCAGTCATTCAACAAGTATTTGTTTGCATCTGTTATAAGCAGTTGGTCCCCTTCTAGGCACTTGGGACGAAAGAGTAAAACAAAGTCCTTATGTGTCAAGATTATATACTCATTGACTTTGCCCTAACCCTTTGGAGGCAGTATTACTTCTCTTGGACAAATGGACAAACCAAAACTGAATGTGGTTATATAAACTCTTCCCTAAGAGTGCATGTCTAGTAAGTGTTTGAGCTAGGAATCAAACTGAGACCCACTTGACTGTGCAGCCAATACAACTGTTCTTACATTAATTAAATAATTAATTAATTAATTAAAATTGTGTATGCGCACGCGTGCATGTGTGTGTGTGTGTGTGTGTGTGTGTGTGTGTGTGTGTGTGTGTGGTGTAGGCCAGAGAACAACCTTTGGGAGTCTGTTTTCTCCTTCCACCAATGGGTCCCAGGGATACTCAGGTTGGCATCTTGGCAGCAGGCTCCTTAGCCCGTTGAGCCATCTTGCCGGTCCTGCAGCCAGACCATGGTTTTGGCTACCAGGCTGTATAACGTTTCTGGCAAGGGAAACCGTGTGGACAGCCTAGAGGAGTGTCTCAGGCTAAAGACATAAACGTTGTCAAGGTCCCTGCCTGGGGAGAATGCTTTGGGAATCAGAGACAGTGAAAGCAGAAGGATGGCTGATGGCTGTCACCCCTTTGGAAGAGGAGCTGAGGTCCTTCCTCTGGGACAGGAGCAGCCTGCACTTCCCAAAATCGTCTAGAGGTGAGAATTCCGGGCAGTATCTGGAGACACGTGAGCCACAGTAGGAAGAGATCCTGATGATTGGCTAGACACTGTTCACCAAAAGGGAGCTGAGATGAAATGTCTCTGGTCGCCCCCTAGAACTTTACAGTCTCCCAAAGGTTGGCAAACAATGCTCCAGCTAAAAGGGGTACAAGGGGTTGAGAATGGAGTTCAGTGGTGAGTGCTCACCTAGGTCATGTAAGGCCCCAAGTTCAATGCCCAGCACCAAAGACAAAACAGATGAAGATATTATGCTGGGCTGCACAATACAAATTCAGCAAGGACTTGAGAATGAATGAATGAATGATTTAAACTCATACTTATACATCAAGCAGTCAAAAACAACCATACATGAACTAGCACACCCTAAATACCACTAAGGATCCCTGTCTCTCAGCTTCCCCTAGAGAAACTAGACCGGTTTGTCGAGTCCATCAGAATCTTCTTTGAAGAGCAAACAAACAAGCAAAACCAAACCACCTAAAATCAGCAGAGCCTAGCCTGGAAGGTTAGGGTAGATTCTTTTTGCTGTCCTCCTGGGCTACGGGGAAGTTCAAACACTGGAAAGGAAATGTATGGAGCGCCCCAGGGAAGATGAAACACCAGCCAAGACCAAGCATCCCGGTGTAAAGGGTCTCACTCAGCTGGGCAGAAGTGTGTCCACCCAGTTCAGGTTCAATTTTTTTTTTTCAGCCCAGGAAATACTGACAAGTTATCAAGTTCATTAACTTTCTCAGAGCAAGAACAAGACCATATTCTCAGCCATGTAAAGTGACAGAGGCTCTGAGCAGTTCCTAACCCAATACATGCTTTCCTTCACACACACATGCACCACACACACACACACACACACACACACACGCACACACGCACACGTGCACACACACAAGCATGTGCTATCCTCTTACCATAGCAATCAGAATATTTAAACACAACCAACTCACTTCAAGCAACTGGACTCTTCTAGAAAAGGTAGAATGACGTGGATTTCATTTCCACCTGAGAGAAGGCTACAGCTGAGAGAGAAGGTGGTGTTTTTGAAGTCCGCACCCATTTAACTCACAGTTGCCCATCCCTCTGCCTTGAGGTTGGGCTGTTTGCCTTCATGCCATTCAACACACTTGGAGATCCCACTGCCCCTCTGACGGCCTTTGGGAGCTCTTTGCCCCGTCGACGGAGCTCTTACGACAGAGGGTGGAAATTGGCATCTCTTCTGACCTCTGTGTCTTCAAGCGTCCTGGGCGTTTGGGTCTCAAACTGCAGATTTTGAGACTGGTATAGAACTTGGGGAACGAGGGGCTTGAGAAATAATAGACGAGAGGATCCAGCATGCTGTTCAGGTAGGTGAAACTGAGGGTGACGTGGAGGGCTGTGTGGACAGAGGGGTCACAGGCACTGGAGGGCACTGTCCAGAGGAAATAGAGCCTGGCCAACGCACTGGGCAGGTAACACGTGATGAACACAGCAGCCACCACCATGATGAAGCGGGTGGCCCTCCTCATCCGAGTCTGTCTGGCCAGCTGCTGCCTCTGTCTGAGGCTCCAGACAACTTTGAAGGAGCAAAACAGGATGATGGCTAGAGGCAGGAAGAACTCCAACTGGAACATGATATCATGCCACCCGTTGGCTGACTCCATGATGAAGCTCTCACAAGACGACTCTGTCTCCTGCACACACAGGTGACTCTCCATGAGAAGATACATAGTCCCCAAGATGACCAAGGCCCAGAGCACACAGGCGGCGGCAGCTGCTGTCCGGTTGGATATGGCATTCACCGTGTGGTGGGGGTGGACCACTTTGAAATACCTGTCGGCAGCCACCACGGTGAGGAAGACAATGCTCCCCGCCCTATTCATGGCCAGCATAAAGAGCACCAGGCGACAGGGAATATCCCCAAAGGCCCAGTGCCTACGTCTGAGGTAGTAGTCTGTCCTCAAGGGTAGGGAGATCATGAGGAGAAAATCAGCCACGGCCAAGTTGAAAAGGTAAATAGTGCTCGGTTTCCAGGTCTTCGTGTGAAAGCAGAAGCCACACAGCGCTATCCCGTTGCCCAGGGCGCCGAGCACGAAGGCCAGGATGAGTAGCGGTGGCATCACCTTGGAGATGGGGTCTCCCTCGATGAGACAGCACGACCCGTTGTCCATGGCCGTCGGAGAGAGGATGAATGTCCTCGGCTGACAGGCACAAGGTCTATCGGAATACTACCGCTCCCACCGCCACTGAGCCCTTAACCTCATCACCCTGGGATGCAGACGCTGCACCCACAAGAGAAACTTCAGCCAGGAAACGAAAGCCTGGAGCAGGCCCTTTCTCTTCCTCAGCCTGGATCACAAGCTCCATGTTCCCAGCAGGGGTGAAGCTTGTGGCTGGGCCAGGCTCTGAAGTGCAGGCTGTTTTCCACACATGAACATTTCTGGGATACAGCTCTGGGGTCCGATGGGATGTGTGCTGCCGCGGAATTGCTGGATCCAGCCCTGGGAGGATTTTTCTTTTCTGCTTCTTCCTCACAGTCTGCGCTGCAGAGTGCTCAGCGCTGCCCAGAAGGCTTGGGGGGAAAAAAAAGTTTGTTTGCCCTCCCTCCTGGTGGAGAAATCTAAACATTTCCTGGAGTCATTCTGGGCCTCTGCCTAGCTCCTTTCCTCCCTAACCTTTGCCTGACTGCCCCTGTCCTCCCCAATCCCCTGGGACACTCCCATGCAGTGCCAGAGAGGGGAGACTGTGTTTTGTAGCCTCTCAGGGCTACTTCCTGGGCCCACACCCAGAATTACAACCTTCAACACTCGGGAGGGTCTACAGAGAAACGAGCTTCTAAAATACATCTGTCAGGTATCAGAAAAATCTGTGTGGGGTGAGGGTGTGGCTCAGATATGACATGTGCCAAACTCTGGGCTCTATTTCTATTGCCAGTTCCTCCTAAAAGGGGTATATGAAGGTCCCTCCTTCCCCTCCTGTCTCCATGAGGCAGCCTCTTCCAGAGGAGCTGAGTCGCTGAACCCTGCTCTGCTGGGAAGCAGAACCTAGTTAGTTACTTTTGCAAAAATTTGACTCTGCTCCCCAACAGTGGCTCAAAAGAAGCAAACCCCAGGGTGAAGTGTGCGAGTGAGGGAGTGTGAGGATGCAAGTGGTTCCGTAAGGAGTTAATTTCTAAAGCAATCATGGGCAGAACAAGACTGCTTACAGAACTGGAGTCTTTGCCACAATGTCCCGTCCTTTGGCTTGAGAGAGTGTTCGTCTGCCTTGGGCCTTTTCCAGTTTAGGAAGGGGGGAGGGGTGCATTGAAAGAATTGCCCAAGTTCATTCTTCTGCTCGTTGATTAAAGCTAGACTTGGGTTGGATGTGGTGGTGCAGGCCTGGAACACACACACACGCACACACACTTTTAAATAAAGATTTATTTGATTATTTTACTTATGTGTGAGTGCCCATGGAGGCAGACGAGGACGTTGGGTCCTCTGAGCTGGACTTCCGGTGGTCATGATGGGAGGCAGGAGGAGCTCTCAGCCGCTAAGCCACGTCCACGCCACTGCTCCTTCTTTCTCTTTTTAAGAACCAATCTCAAGGGGCCCAGGTTGGTTTTGAACTTTGCTCCTCAGCTGAAGATGACCTTGAATCCCTCATCCTCTACCTCCCAAGTGCTGAGATTAAAGGGTGGGGTCACTAACCTGTGGGAATTCCCTTATCTCTACCGCCTCTTTTTCTTCCCACTTCCCCCACCCTCTCCTTTCCCTGTCTTTTCTCCCCTCTCTCCCCCTTCCCTGCTCTCCCTCCAGGATCTCTCTGTACACCCCGGCTTCCCTTGAACTCTTCACCCTTGGGTGTCACCTTGCCAGGTGCTTACATTTCTCCAGCTCCAAATCAGCATCATGGATCCCCCACTGCCCCCATTACAGACACCGTGACCTTCCATGGATCCCCCACTGCCCCCATTACAGACACCGTGACCTTCCATGGATCCCCCACTGCAACCTCATCACAAGACACCATGACCTTCCACGACATCCCCCTCTGTCCCCCATCACTGTACACTGTTACCTTTCATGTGGCTGTAGAGACCATGTCTTACATGGTTTTCCTTCCTCTCTTCTGTCTTTGAAATTCAACTACCACGGAAAAATTGACATCGTTCTGCCCTGTGGGTTGGATCCAGGGCTTTGTGTAGTCTAGGCCAATGCTACAGCTGAGCTGCAGGGAAGGGGGCACCCCATGCCTTTTTCTTCCCCCCTTTTCTCTTCTCTGCCTCTTTCCCCTCTGTCTTTCTGTCTTTGACATGTAGCTCAAGCAGATCTTAAATCTGTGATCTTCCCACCTCTGCTTCCTCAATAGCTGGGACTGCAGGTTAGTCCACCACGACCAGCAAGCCTCAGCCGTTAGAATCCCTTTTATTTCTTCATCTCACTCCATCTAATCTCTGAAAGTGTCAGAGTGTGGGGCACACATGGTTCAAAAAAATTCTGTTTCGTTTGATCCACTGCCCATTATATTGTGCTGAGGACTCAAACCCAACACCTTGCTCATATTAGTAAGTAATCTACCCCAAGTGACATCCCCAGGCTAGACACCCTTTAGCCCAGACTAGCCCCAGCCTCCTGAGTACTGGCATTGCAACCCTGAGTCACCATACCTGGCTGTCCCACAGGTCTTAACAGCTTTGAATTGTTTTTAGGAACTCACGTTTCTATCTTTTTGTATTTTATCTATTTGCTTCTTTATGTGGATTGTTTTGGGTTTTGGACCATTTATCTAGTTATTCTTTATCAACAAAACTCAAGAGTCAGATATCGGGGTAAGAACCTGAATGACCAGAGAAGCAGTGGAGAAGTGACCAGTGACCACTTCTCATTTTCCGTGCTCCAAAAAGGCCAAAAATCTTTCTAAGTCCCACCCTCCTGCTTCCCGTGTCTCTCTATATGTCTTCAGTCCTCTAAAACCTCAATAGCTAATTTTGTAGGGAGCTCTGACCTCTGATTCAAAATAAACTTTATTGTCAGTCACAGGAGTGTCAGAGTGCAAACAAAATATCCCACATTTCCCCCCTTTATCTAAATAAAAAGGGAAGGTTTTAACTCTAATATAGTAAATCTATGTACAATAAGAACAATTATCAGGTAAGATTACTTTCACAATGTCCAGTCCATTTGCATTTAGCAAATTCAGAGAAAATACTCCATTTTCTATCCTATCCTGGTGAATCCAAAGATTTATATCTAATTCACTTTCCATCATGACTTGTATTACAAACCTAAAACTATCTTTTTAGACCTCAAAACATTTTCTTAGATAAACAATTTAAGCTTTGATGCCTCTCAACCTCATATACTTTACACCCTTTTGTGAGTTTTCTGAATTTGGTAACGAGGAACACTAACTCTGACTATCTGGTCTAACTATCAGAGACCTGAGAAGGATATACTATTACCTGAGTAAACAGGAAGTACAGAACAAACAAATTCTATAACTATAGAAACAGCAGAGACTTTTGACTGCTTGGGCAGTCACTTTGCTTCCTCTGCAATGTTGGAGCATCCATCTTTGACCTACAGATCTGGAATATCTGGCAGACTTTGCTGTGAAGCAGGAATTTTGAAGGACTGTCCTACATTGTCTTGGCAAAGTTCAGCAGTCATTTTATTTTGTGTCCTGATTGGCTAGTTTGGACAGCATACTGTCAGCAGTTGAGGCAGCTGCTTAGTGGCTGACTTTGCCACAATGAAAGAAAACTCCATATGGAGGTTCTTTGATGCCCATCATTCATTTTTAAAGTAAATTAGTGATGCCAGGAGCAGACGTGTCTAACTGTCATGAAAAGCATATGTTATTAAAACATCTTAAATGCATTATTCTTTAGGTCTCTGAAGTGTTTGAAGACCACCTACCTATCTAAGCTATATCTCTGTCTGACCTTGAAAATATAGCTAACATGGCCGCAAATTAATTGTTACAGATGACTAACTACTAAACTACATTTCTTAATTATCATAAACAGCTTGTAATAATAACCTTTAAGAACTAGAACTTTACATTTTAAAATTAGCTACATAAGTCCAGTACCTTAAATAAGAGTAAAAACATATACATATGTATATGTATATATATATATGTTAAAACAAAAATAACCTTAAATTTGTATCAATAAACAAAAATCTATGCCAATGTAAAATATTTAAGACTAGTAGTTGCTTTTTTAATTTAAAAGTAGATTCAGTAATATACCCTTTTATCCTATCATCCCTATATCCCCCTTTTGCTTTTCAGAATGAAATCCCTGAATCTAATCTCCTTTGCTCAGTTTCCTCCCTCACTGTGACCAATAACAACTTGCAACTAAACCCCCTGAACAATGATAAACATCCATAATCCTCTGAATGACCAAAACCACCTATCCCACATCTGGGAATGTGGGTGTCATGTTCTTAAAATTACTTCCTGTTGTCTGGGGGTAATAGTATCTTTATGGGGCCCTGAGAAAATTGAGATAATGGTCCAGTCCTAAGAGAAAAACTGATAAACTTGCTTTTGGGGAAGATTAAAATAAATTATTGAAAGGAAAAGAGGGACTTACAATGTTTTCTTTTTCTTTTTTTTTTTTTTGGTTTTTCTTTTTCTTTTTAAAGATTTATTTATTTATTATATATATAGCATTCTGCCTCCATGTATGCCTGTATTTCAGAAGAGGAAACCAGATCTCATTATAGATGGTTGTGAGCCACCATGTGGGTGCTGGGAATTGAACTTGGGACCGCTGGAAGGGCAGCCAGTGCTCTTGACCACTGAGCCATCTTTCCAGCCCCTTTTTTTGGTGTTTCAAGACTGTCCTGGAACTAGCCCTTGTAGACCAGGCTGACCTCAAACTCACAGAGATCCGCCTATCTTTGCCTCCTGAGTGATGGGACTAAAGGCATGTGTCACCACTGCCTGGATACTCACAATACTTTCTAAAAACCATCCATGGATGATCAAAGAGGCGATGCAGCAGATGGGCATTGTCTAGAATCACTCCCAACCTGCCCAGTGAAGACATAGAGAGCTATCGTCCAGTCTTGGTGTGATGGGAAAGTGCAGGGCTTATTGTAGTCCTGGCTGGAGATGTCTGTGAAGCTGGACCATCTCAACTAACCATCTTAAACTTGTCCTTAACAGTTTGTAGTCCAAAGCTGATCTTTCGGCAGTGTTTGTTAGCTTAATGGCTTTGCCACAATCCAGGCAGAATCATCATACTTTTGGAGACTTCACAGGTCATTGTTTGGAGCAGTCACAGTTCACTGCAGAAGACAAACATTTTCAATGCCATATGCTCAGATCTTGGGGAGGTTAAAGGACCACAATCTATTAAATACATCTGGGGTATACAAGTTTAGTCCCGAGTTACCTGATTCAGACTTAAGCCCAAAATCATGTACAGGAAGCTAGGTGAAACCTATTTCTAGAATTAGTAAGTACTCTATATAACCATTAATACCACAACAAAAAGTACACACACACACACACACACACACACACACACATATTTATTAGTCTTATAAATTTTTGA